TAGTAGTAGTAGTAGTGGTAGTATGGGGCACTCGACTCACAAGGAGGCAAGGTCCGGCGGCGTTGAATATCTTCCTCTGCTGTTCTTATACCCCTGCTAAGACAGGTGTAGGTTTAGTCGTAACCGTCCATTGAAATGCAGGCCTCTGACCCTGCTGCACATGGTACCAGGGACAGGGTAATTATATGAGCAAAGACACCATCTGGCCATTCTTCTGACACGCCATCACTACCTGAGGGCAATCGCTGTGTCCCGCAAGTGCAAGCGTTGGCAAGACTTGAGTGACATGTCTTGGTGCCACTGAGCCGGGGACGCCGACGTTCTGGCTAACAGGGCCAGAATCCATGACTTCGTCCGGCTTGCCTGTCGTGACTTAGCTCTGGACTTAAGTAGGAAGCATGAAACATAAAAGGTGGGTTGAGGGCCGAGTTTGGCAGTCGGGAGACGACCACTAGCATGTCGTCGATCAGCAACACTCACGAATGCAACGCTCTGCTGCGTCACGAAAACAAATCCAAAGTCAGCAATCAATCCTCGATTCCAAGCTTAGCAACACATCCGCATCTGCAATTTAAGCTACCACCTTCAATTTTTCACCCTCAACACTCAGAGTGCGATCCCTTGCCTCCCTGTGATGTGATGACCCAGTAGGGCACTCCTGCTGGGTCCTGGCTCATGGGTCCGGATGTTCCAGATGTACAATTGAAACTTGCCCTTGCTGGTGGTAGTAGCAAAATGCGCCGTCGACATGACATGCGGCGGGGGGTGGTTGGCTGCGAGATTGCAACTTTGGTAAAGCTGGCATGTACACACACCATCAAGAGTGCATGCTGAACAACTGTACCTTCTGTGCAGAGGCTCCAAGGCCCAAGGCCGGATATGCTGTACAACTCGCGGTTGTCGAATCTTGGGCACGTGCCTCTAATCCCTCAAACCCGAATCGGGCTATCATCAGTGCGAAGGGATGCAGCAAAGATATCTGGTACTTGCGATGGCGTGCTAAAACATGAGCTACCCGAAGAAACAGATCAAGATCCGATTGACCTTGAGGATCTTCTTTGCCATGTCCTGCCACAGCTTTGGTGTACGTCCGCTGGCTTCAGCTTGAAGGAATTCCGTGTCACCGGATCAAGCTCGGCTTGTGGCAGGAACCAAATTTCCCTGCGGCCTTACGACGGTGTTACTCGTCACGGCTTCGAGGTCCGACTCGAAAGTTTTCCTTCCCCTGACACCGTAAAGCACGCATCTCCCTTTTATTTATTTCACGCCTTGCATGGATGCCTCGGATGGCAGAGGCCGAAGGCAGGATCCTTGATGCTGCAAGCCACCAGCTTTTGCGAAGGTGAAGGATACTGCCGGTGGTACTATTTGCTGATGGGACTGATTCTCTGCGACTCGTCATGTGGTTCGAACTTGGTGTGTATGCGCCTTTTTATTGTCCTGCTGAAGTGGCGAAATAGAACTACTTGCGGTCCAGTGAAGGCATCACGGCATCACTGTGTTGCGCTGCATGGGTCTGGGAGCATCATGGAAGAGGGCACAAATGCTCAGCCTGCTCTAATCTCAAGTGCTGCGCAGACCCAGTTGTCAGTGCATGAGCATGCTGAACGAGCCACTGAGCGACTCTTTGGATAAGCAGTTGGGACCTAGAACATGGTGCAGTTAGCGGAGACAAGAACACCGGGCACTAGAGTGACAGAAGGCAAGCAATGGCAGTAGCAGGAGGAGGAGTAGTACTAGCAGTAGTCACTGTAGTAACAGTAGTCGTAGTAATAGTCGTAGCCGTCGTCAAAGTAGTAGTCGTAGAAGTAGGCCACATCTGTGATGTTCGGTACCAGCAACAACACCAACAAACAACAAAGCAAGAATAATAACAGCGACACCAATACCACTACGATACCAACACGACCACCAGCACCAGCACCACACACAGCAATAACCACGAGCAAAACAACAACAGCAGTGGTGATAGCAGTAGCAGCAAGCAGCGGCAGAATACCACCAGCACCAAAAGCAACAGCAGCAGCAGCAGCAGCAGCAATCAAAAGATACAGCTAGAGTAGTGGACCGACAAGAAGCAAACGAGCGAAGTTTGACAAGCGGGTGCATCATCATCTCGACGGCAACGGCACGGCCATTATAGCCGTGAACGACCTTGAACATAAGCACTTAAGATTACATCACGATCGGGATATAGATGCTGATCTGGATCATCACAATCCTCATCGCTGTCATCACCACCAGGTCACCAACACCATCATCATTCTCATCGTCAGCATCATCGCTGTTATGACCATCATAAAATTCATCATCACTATCACCATCGTCACATTTTTTCGTGATCACCTACGTGTCATCAACAACAGCATCACAGTCTTGGGAGTCTAGGTCGCCGCCAAGAATCCGTCTCCTCAATGCTTTGGTACAAAGGCGGCTCGGCCGGCATCCTGCCAACAGCATGCGGGTGGCCTACCAGCAAACCATGAACATTTGCAGAGTATGGGGTCGACCGAGACCCTTGTGGCCGTTAGCAGCCGTCCAGGTGGAGATTTTGAATCGGGATCACAGCTAGCCAAGAAATCGTAGGCCTGCCCGTTTCGCTTACCTTAGGGTCCAGCCTCATCAACAACAAATGTGTCCAAAGCCCGAAGTACGAGACACCCGTTGCCTTTCAGACATCAGGACCGGCCTCACCGTCAGCTGCCCCGACGGAAGGACGGCCAGGCCCACAGGCGCCTGGCCGTTCCTGCGATCCGGCTAGAGCTGCGAGTGCTTCTGCATGCGATGTATCACAGCATGCGAACTGGAGAGGCACACGGTACCAGAGCGGTCAGCTATAAAAGGTTCAGAAGCTCTGCTTCTGTTTCTGCAGCCTCACCAGCGCTACGGATTCTTCAGCATACGCCCGTGGACTACGATGTCGCGTTCGTGCCATGCCTGCAATCTGCACTTTCATGGGATCTTTGGTGAGCTTGATGGCCAATATATACCCTGTGCCCTTGACCCCAGCCTTTGCTGTGCAGTAGTCTGCCTTCCAGGCGTAGTGCCGAGCCAAAATCTCAATAGCACTGTGACGTCTTTTTGATCCGATGCTCCTGGATGCAATGTCGCTGCCGTTCGGATCCACATCCTGCTGGCGGACATTATAGGCTTCGCAATTGCCTTGGGAGCATGTCGCAGGGTACAGGAAAATCTCGGGTTGAATTCCGATTGAGTCTTTCCTGATGAAGCCCACGTAGAGGCTTCAATTCAAGTGTGGAACGCTTGGGAAAGCCGTGTCCCTGCTGGTGGACAGTTTCGACGGATGGTAGTCCTGTTTACTCCGAACACAATTGCAGTCTTCACGAGGGTTCATGCCAATATGTCCTGTCGCGCAATGGGTACAGCTGTGGATCGTAGGGGTTCCTTCCTGGAGCTGCAGACTAAACGCACCCCTCTCCACCTCCATGGGGATGCAGCGCCAGACGACTTGTTCTTAGATGGAAGCAGCTTTTCTCTCAGAGGCACTTGAGATACTACAAAATATAATATATGATGATCCACTATAGTCATAACAATATTATATTGTATATTATACATAACATACGTTAAGATACAGTGTTATTATACAATAATTGATAGGTCAGTCTTTGTCTTGTCGAATTGAAAAAAGGCCTGACTTCAAAGACATTCCAGCAAACCCACGCAGAAAATCGACCCCAGAAAAGACAGGCCTCGACAAGAATCCAGCGAACCATGAAAGAACCAGCAGGGGCGGACTACACAAGAACCCACACTGCGCACGCGAAGCACAAAAGCCAGCATCGATGACCGGGCCAGAATCTGAAACGACCCCCCCCCCCCATTCTGAAACCTTCCACCTTAGACAAACCCGCCCAGTCGCTGGCAGTCTCGATGCCATGCTTCTTCATGAAATCTTCGGGAACTGGCTCCTCGAACGGTCTCGGCGAGGTTGAGTTCTGCGAATTCTGCGACTGGGTACATCGGGGTTTCGGGTTGGGGTCTGGGGCTGCAGTATGCTGCAGTGCTGGGACCCAGGGTGCAGCTGTTTTAGTTCTGGTGCTGACAACAAGCTTCCGTCAAAGGGGTCTAGGCGTTTCGGGCTCGTCACCCTACAACTCCCCGCGCGTACCCCAATGCCCGCACACTGTACACCCGGGATTCGGATAGATCGAGTAGCAGAGTGGCAGCAATAGAAGAACCAGGAGTACTAGATAGTCATAGCCGCAGTTGTCGTCGTCAAATAGGACTAGCAGCAGCAGCAGCTGTAGCATGGGTAGCCCGGTAGCCGCAGCCTGCAAAGTTGAAGCAACTCGTGGAGTCCTTCGTCAAGCCCTCAAAGTCGCGGTATTTGAGGTCTGCGGGCTCGAAGTTGGGTGGTATCTTGGCCGTGTTCCTTGCGGCTCTGGGGATTTTTTGGGGTGTCGCCGGTGCTCTTTGAGGGTCGGGGATTTGGGCCTCAGCTTCGAAGGTTTTCGGGGCATCATGGAACCCCCTTATGACTCGTCCCGGTGCTTCGCTACAGTTGCCATGGTCATATATCTTTCAGGGCATGTGATATCAGGGGCTTGTCTGTCGATAGCGTTCTTTCCGTGTAGAAGTTCTTACCCTCAATGCTGATGTGTTTATACAAGTTACACGAGTATGCTTCTTTCCACCACCTGACAGAACGGATTCAAGCTGCGAAAGGATGTCTTCCACCACGCCAGCATTGGGGAAAAGACCTCAGAGTCAGCTGTGCGGAGGGCTTCGTGCAGGTTCCGAAGACGAAGCCCGAATAGTGCTGTACATCAGACGAGAGTGAACCAATCGTCGTGCTGTACACCATTTTGCCCCTGACCCTCAAAGCCCGAATCTGAAACACAGGACAGCCGTAGGGTTAGGATTACGGGGGCCCTTGCGGATATAGACCCTCTCAATATAAGGCCCCGTTTTAAAAGAGCCAAAAGTAGGGTTAAGTAGGGTGCAACATAAACTCCCCCGTTTCCTTTGCCACCCAGCAGCTCTTCTCCGGAAGGAGCTCTTTCCAAGCGTTGCGCATGCCGAAAGCTCGGGCTTTGGGGAATCGGAGAAATGGAGTTTGGGATGCTGGCAAGTGGGGGTTGGAAGTGAGGGTCTGAGGGTCTTTGGGAGTCTTCGGGGTGTCGGGGTCTAAGAGCTTCAAGGGTTCGGGAGGGGGCTGCAAGTGTGGAGGTAGCTGCCCTGCGCAGTGGCTTTAGGCTTCAGACTTGGTCCTGAGAGAAATTTCCCGGTCCGGGAGTCCACTCTGTCTCTGTGTGTGTGTGTGTGAGCGAGACTTTGCCATCTAGCGATGAAGGCAGGAAATGAATTTATTGATGCGGAGCTGTACACAGCTGAAAACAACGTGGTCTTGCCACAGCGAGACTGTGAGGATACTGGTAACCAAGGTCTAAGACAAACAGGACTAGGGACAGTTCATAAAGTCCTTTTTTAGCAGGGTCTTCACTGAACATTGCCCTGGCGTATGTCTTCGCGCAGCTTCTGTTGTGTGACTGTTTGGGCAATGATGCATTCGCCGCTGGATGCGAAAGGACTGGTCGAAAAAGCACACATGCCATGGACTTTTGCACTAGTTGCCCTAAACATCGCTCCATGAAGTCGTGTAGTAGTGTACGTACAGCATTCAAAACCAAAGTATGTGGATAGCCTCGAAGAGTGTCGCTGCTTTACAATTGCACACCGTCATGCCACGCAACTGCGACATGACGATACGATGTGCTCAGCTCCAAAGCTTTTGAAGGAGGCCGCCGTCAGTGCACAGCAGACGCGACACTCACGACCCTTGGACTGAACTAGAACAGCAATATTATTATTATTACTATTGTTGTTATCATTATCATTACTATTCTTAATACTATTATTATTGTTAGTACAATACTCGCCTCGAATCGGCGAAAGAGTTTGGAGGCCATCAACTGTGCGGAAGCCTCAATCAACAGAGCGGAAAAAGACAAAGTCATGCAGGCAACGAGTTTTTGTTGCCCATACGCCCAAAGAAGAAGTCTGAGTCCAGGCTCTGCAGTCTCATCGCATGCCTGAGCTGCTTGCGAAGGGCACAGCCCCAAGTCGTTTCAACTTATGCACCTGTAGGGTTCACATGGTCCACAGGCTTTGAGATGGACAGCTCAGTACAGCAACAGACTAAGACGATGCCACATTTCTAGGACTGGGACCCACACAAACGAGGTTTGTGGTGGTGTCTGACGTTGCCTGCTCGAGAAATGTCGCTGGGCAAGCAGTTTAGGTTTGGGGGGCCGATCATCCGGACGGGTACTGATGGTACTGGAGCCGCTTGCCGATGAAGCAACTTAATGTATTGATGGCCGATCGTACTGCTTCAGCTGGCCAAGCATACCATACTTGGCTGGGGCGAGCGTCGCTCATGCAGAAGACTACGCTGATGCAGTCAGTCAGACACACTGCGACAAACATGTGGCGCGTGTCTTCATTGGACACATACCTGATCGAACCTTGGAAGAAAAGGGAGCTGACGACGGGCGACGACTCACTCCAAGCGCACAGAGCCATGAGTGTTGCTGACTTGCACAGAAAAACCGTAACCACTTCCCATGGCTCCCGTGGAAACCATCTGGAGCTGCCAAGTGTCTCAACCAACACCCGATCCTTGCAAGCAGCATCAGTCGCGTATAAAATTTTGATCAACTTAGTGTGTATCGAGCTTTGGTTGAAGGCTTCGGGCTACATGCTCTCACTCGCTACACACCGAAACATGCGGGTGGTCCTCTCATGGGTCTGGTACTGGAACAAGCAGCAACCAAACCAGACCCTGGGCTCGACGAGGAGCTGCCGCGTTTGTTCGCATCAGATCCTCGAGCTCTCCCTCTTCCCAGGGATGCTCGAAAGCGGCCTCGCCGGAGCGAAGAAGAGCTCTTGTTCCCAGGGATGCTGAAACGTGTGGTTTCATATGCATGACATGCATATGAAAGTATGTACGTGCACAGGCTTAGAGGACTTGGGACATCCAGAAAAGATGTAGGCAGAAGGCAAAGGCTCTCTTCACCTCGCATGGTACTTCTGCAGTAGTGATGCAGGTACGTGTCTTCCAAATGACTCTAAATGCCTCTAAACCCATGGCTAGGCCAAATCACGCCCAGGTGCGAATGGGATCGATCCAGGTCCAGCCGCAGAGCCTAAAAGGCCCCAGACCAAAGCTGGAAGAGGTTCTCTTGAAGGGGTTTAGGGTTTAGGGTAGGGTTTAGGGTTTCAGCACTCACTCTCGGACTTACCTTGGCGAGGTTCCTGGTACGACTAGGGTTTAGGGTTTAGGGTTTTTTTTCCCTCTCGCATGGCTGAGGTTCTAGGGTTTAGGGTTTTGGGGCGGTTCTGGTGAAAACCTGCACCCCCGAAGAAGGCCAATGGCTCCAGGGATGATCAGAGGCAAGAGCTCCTAAGTTCGCCATGGTTCCCCGGGCCGCCTCCCTTAGGGTTTAGGGGTTTAGGGTTTAGGGTTTAAGGTTTAGGGTTTAGGGTAACACACATTTTCATGGCAGCATGTATTTTAGCTCTCGAGCCGCTTCTTGAGCAATTCTGACAAAAGGCCCGGATTCCTAACCTAGGCGTTCATGTCCTGTGACGACCAAGTTTGCCCTTTTTGGCCAAACCAGCATCGCAGGAAGCATTCAGGAATGGGAAGGGTGATGGGCATGGTCACGGCAATCCAACATAACGATTGCAACATGTATAGTCGTAACCGCAGCATCAGCAAGAGAACTGCGAGTAGTGGTCTACCAAACAGACGATGATCACCTGTGTCTCTGAGAGCGTGTATTTTTCCAGGAGTTCGGCCTGGAACATTCGGGTGGGCGATCCTTCCAATGTTGCCCCTTTGAAGCAAAACAAGACCCCCCCTTGTGGTTGGTCGACGAGGACTGATAGATGCCGGAAGACCGGACGGGCAAGAATGGCCGGAGAATGTAGGAGTCTACAAAACAAACGCTTTGGTCCTGCAAAGGCGGGTAAAGCAGAATTCGAACGATAGACCGAAACACACTCACGTGGAAACCGGGCGAAACCCCAGCCAGCCAACCTGTCATGTGCGCTTCCAATTCTGCAGGGATGTCCGCATCGGGGGCACTGACAAGCCTCGCGAAGGACTCGCTCATCAGCGTTGAACCCCAAGAGCTTTCTTTGGGGCCTTGTCGTGACAAGGCCGGGGCTTTCGGGATCTAGGTCGATGACTCTTCGAAAGTATCTATCTCTGAGGCTGGAACGAAGAGATGTTGCCTAGAATTCACTAACTTGCGATGGAATCTGCCTTCGAGGGCTAGCCTGGGCACTCTGATGTCTGTCGTGCTGTGGCCCAGCCCGAGGAGCCGGGGTAAATGGCGTATATACCGTATGTAGGTTATTAAACTATAACTATTGACTAGAGTGCCACTAGACCGACTGCAGGGATGACAATTTGTTGCATGCCAGCTCACTTCTCGCTTCCGGAATACACAAACGGGAAAGTAGATCTCATTGATTGTGTGGGGCAATCTCGTGCAGACATGCCGACAAGCTCATGCTGCAGCGCACTGCTCCCAGTCGAGCACCCGTACGAACTGTCCAAAAAAACAAGTGTAGGTTTCAGGTTTGCTGTGCCCTGAAAAATCCCAAACAACAAAACTGCCATGTGAATTAAACGTCTTTGCAAGGGGCTCTGCAACCAATTTCATCTGGCTGCCTTGGACAAGCGCTGTGTCACACTGAATCTTCGTGCCTTATAAATCGCACTGCTTTGGCTTCAGTGCTTGGAGCAAGAGTAGTTGTCGTGATCGGAATCGCTATGTTGTGCTGGTGAGCGCAATGCTGATCATAATGATTGTGGTAAAGATGGTGACAATGACAATGAATGGATCATTATCTTAGTCTTCTTCATCATGATGAACAGCATCACCAGTCATCAGCAGCAGTTCATCATCGTGCTGATGGCGGCGCGGGTGCTGTTGGTGATGTTGGGCGGGATGTTGGTGGTCTTGCTGGCGAACATGACTGAGATGACACTGTTTTTGCCCATCAGCCTTAGCATGTTCGTCATTACTAGCATTAGCACCATAATGCTTGTGATGACCCTGATCACCAAATTGGAAGGACACATGCGTGTGTGCGTGTTGTGTGTGCGGGGGGTCTAGACGGATATCAACAACGACGAGGTCAGTGGAACTCTCGCAGGCTGGAACACGGGCAGTCTGACCGCCCGGCCCCTCGTCAACATGTGACCACCATTACCAAAACGACCTGTTGTCATAGTCCTAGAGTCGCATCGGCGACGCCCAGAGAACTGAGGTACAAGTTCCTAGGAAAGTCCTTTGCGGCATGCTGGCAGGAGACTTGTGACCAAGCCATTCCCGACCACGATGACTGCATCAAGCTGCTCCAGGACCTGGCTGATGTCTTTACCCGCCCGATTCCACACCGAAAGGCTATAGGCGCTTTTCTGTCTACCTCCGATTCGGAGGTCGTTGGGTTTGAGGATTTAGGTGCCATTGGATCTTACGGCTGTTTCCCCACCCGCCCGCCGTTTTAAGTTTGAGGGTAGCCGGGTAGCCTGCTCGTCGGGACATCGAACGGCATGCTTCGGAAGCCCTTGCAAATTGAAGGACTCTGTGCGAATCCTGCACATGCAATTCCATCACGACACAGAGCCCATTCTAGAAAACAACCAGCCTCCACTACAAGACTAACCGCAAGTCGGGATTCGAAGTCACAAAGAGAAGGCTTCGGTGCCGTTAAGCTAGGCCGAGCAGGAAATTCGGGCGACGGGATCTGTTGTAGGACTCGGTAGAATCTTAGAAGGCCGGCGAAACAGGTTCTCAAGTTGCACGGTGAAGCCGCGCCCGTCACTTTACCCGTGATGTATTCTCAAGAACTGAAAGAAAGTTGAAGTACGTGGTAAGTACCTGCTTCCGGTTCTTGATACCCGAGCCCCACATCTGCCAAACCAGTTTGAACACAGCTGCTAGCCGGTCAAATGCAACTGCTTCGGATTGCTTTGAGATCTGCGATGCTGGCTTTTCCTCGCAGAAAGAAACCCTAAAGCTGAACAAACCCCGAAATTTCTGGTTTCAAGCGGCACTCTGAACGCTCAAAGTGAGACACTGAACCCTGTACCCTCATGCCACTGCTTACTGTGGATGATCTATACCCTGCATTACATTTCAGGAACCTAGACTGTGGGAATTATTGTTTATACTTGTTCTGGGTAATGATTGGATTTTTACCTTCAACCGTACCAAGGAATGCCTGCTTGGCCGCAAAAAGCCGATGTACGGCATGGTCCTCGTTCGGGCTTAGCAGCGGGAAGCGGCCAAAGGGTATAGTATAGGGGGAGGCCTCTTGTCGCGCCTTTGGTTCTTTCGGGTTCCATAGATTTCGGAGGTGGATTGTCGGGCTTTTGGGGTGTAGGGCTAGGTGACGAGACCCTATTTCGAACCCAAGGTCTGAGGTGTGCTTGTACCGTGAGTCCGTGAGGTCTCGGGAGTTGAGATCGCGGTTGAGGCCTTCCCGGTTTAGGGCTTGCGTGTGTCGTCCGGACTTGAGACTTTTCGGTTTACACTCTCACAACTTGGACAATCCGGGGTTTAGGGGTTTAGGGTCTTCTGTGTTTGAGAACCGGCACAATATCCGCTGATGGGTTGTGGATGTTGTGCCCTTCGCCATGAAGTCGTCAGGCCTGGTGAAAGGCACTCCCTAGACCAACCTATGCAACTTCTCTTCGTGTTTCATCTAGGAATCCTAACACGGACACCATTGAGAGCTTAAACAAGGTGGCTCATCAGCGGGACAAACAACGAAAATCTTCGCCTAGCCCTGCAGACTTCTCTCCAGCCCACCCTGAACAGTCCTCCACATTCCATCTCGCCGAATTCGGACCTCTAAATTCTAAAGCCCTGCCAGCGTCTGACAAAAGAATCCTTTCCGATTGGCCCCGTACGGGAAATATATGGGGGCCTTATTGCTTTGAACAGAGTTTTGGGGTGGTGTGCAGACAGAACGGGGAGTTTTGGAGTATTTTAACATAAGAGGTTTGAAAGATATATTCAGCATGAAGGAACGCTGAGGGATGGTATGGGTATTTCCTCAGACCCCTATTTCTGTATATCCCTAACCCCTAAACCCTTTAAAAAAAATAGCCCTCAAAAAGGAAGCCTCCAGAAAGGCGTAGCCTCCCGCTGCGCCTGCCAGGGATCGCACCTGAAAGGACGGCGAAGGCTTAGGATTCAAGGTTTTAGTTGGGTTTGAGGCACTTCAAGGGTTTGGGCTTAGGGTTCTGTGTTCTGGGTTTTCTTGGGTATTTTAGTAGGGTTGGGGGGTTGATGAAGCAGACACCCGTAGTGGGCAATTGATTCCAGGAGTGCAGCCCTCCAAGCAAGCTGGCCACGCCGGACCTATTGAGCGACGGAATACATTCCACACTTAGCCGACAGACCGTTCTAACCCTAGCTTGCATTGGGATTCTTTATCAGACTTTGTCCGAGGTAGATTCAACCCCACAGCCCGCTGCCCACCAACATCCACTGATCATCCACCCTGCCAGCAGGGGTAGCAGCGGTGGCCGAGGTCACGGTGGTGATGGTGGTGGTGGTGGTGGTGGTGGTGGTGTTAACAAAGAAGAACTCGAAGAACTTCGCTCTGAGGCAAAGCGGTCAAACTGTTGGAGCATTATCAAGGGTCCGACGGCTGTGTTGCTGAATTCTATCGGCTCCTTTCACCTGCGCTCTTTCCAGCCAGACTGCAGGCCGCCTGGTAGTTGCTGGCCATTCCACGCCAAAGCTGGAGGAAGTCCTGCTAGGGAGGAACTTTGCACCGAGGGACTTATACTCAATGCAACTGCTGGGAAGCATGGCCATAGCCAGCCGTTTGGTCAGAGAGCTTTCGTCGACGGCACCATGCAACTGAAGCTACATTTCAGGGTTCTGCACTTCAGCGGGGCTCTGTCTGATATATATATATATATACATACATACATACATACATACATACATACATATGTGTGTATATGTATGTATATGTAGATCTCTTCATTTATTTTCATCTATGTTATCTATATTTATGTTAACTCATATATAGAGGCGGGAATATTCTATGTGTGTATGTATATATATATTATAGATAGATAGATAGATAGATAGATAGATAGATATAATACACACAAGCACACAGGCCGAGAGCACCCGGGTGCGATATACACTGGGACGAACTGATGTGCAACAGGTGAGTAGGACCACATACAGATTTGGGCTTCTCCATAGACTCTATAGGATGCTTACATCGGCGTTGGAGGCAAAGGTTAAATAGCTAAGACAGAAGATGACGATGATGATGATTATGATGACGTTCATCATGTTGACAAACTGTTTGTACTGCACCCCTGAGTGATGAAGGACACATCTTCAAGACTACAATGACATACTCAACCTGGAGCCTTATGAGCTTGTGGCGCACTTTTTGGCATACATCGCTCATAGTGCTGTGAATGCATCGGGCTGCTGACCGTAGACGCCGATGGCCAGATCTGGAAGCACGACGGTGCACCATGCGCCTGCCGGATTAACCGTCAGACCTGTGCTGTGCAAATCACCCTTTGCCGTTGTTCTGGCCAATTAGACCGAAAGTGCACGAAAGGGTTTTACAAAACAGACAGCCTGTATTACTTAACTAGAGTACTAGAGGATACAGTGCTTCCGATTTCAGACAGTCGTCTCGTAGCCCTAACTGCATACGACTTGCATGATGCGGCATTTTCTACGGTGTCACTTCGATCAGAATGTAGAGATAAATGAAATACGAGCTGAATTCACTCTATGAGCTGATGACGTAGCACAGAGCCGGCTCTTGTTCCGATGCCGGCCTCCGATTGTTCTGTTTTGGATGTCCAGAAACCGTGGGTTCCGATGTTCTTGTCTCGCGCCTTACTGTTTGAGACCTGTGGTCCAATAAGGGTCCAGGTCTCAAGCTTCAAGCTGTGCCTTCATGTGCTACTGGTAAGTCTTTTTCGTTATTGTTGTTATTAGTATTGAACTGTTTTATTCTACGAACATGATTAGTGTTTTTGTTACTAATATTGCGATTGTCAGTATCACTAAGACTACTACTGCTATTGTTGAATCATGAACATTATTAATGATGCTATTAGTGTTATTGAACTACGGCAAAGGCCTGTACAGAACTTCATCAGCAAGAGGGGGTGAAGCTTGCAGTGTCATGACTGGGCCGGCCCGGCGCCACGTTTCAGGATTTTTGGACTGCAAAAAACCATCGGAGCTCTGAACTGTAAGGTTGGAGTTCTCAGAGTTCTCGGCTCCCTGAGGATCTTTTACCATTCTGACTGCCACCCTGCTGTTCCACGACTGCTTCTCAAGGTGCGGCAGGGTACTCTGTGAAAAACGCAGGAACGACAAAGGAGCACTCGTTATACATGGTTTCGAAGTAATACTTGTTGACGGATACCGGTTCTAAAGGCCCCAGGCCAGTGGCAGCTGCAAGCTCTTTCTGCTAGCTTGGTTTTGAAACTTCAAAAGGCCGGGACCCAATTTCAGTCCACCGGCACTAAAAGCAGATCGCGGCGGGGTCAGCCGCCACAGCTTCCTCTCGGCGCGGCATGATGTCAAGGTCCGAGACAAGATCTGGGAGGTTTAGGGGGCTCAGCGTCAAGATTCAATGAAGACAAAAAGACGTAATCAGCAAAGTGGGGAACAAGTAAGAGCCCGACCGTTGCGATTCTGCTCACCTGGAAACCACTGCCACCTTCTGAAAACCTTACTAGTTTTGGCTCTAGACGGACCCTGCTGCTTAGTGCACTGCGTAGTTTTGACAGAACAATCCCTTTTGTTCAAAGTCCCATGTAAGCGATCAAGCAAGCCACACGCTGATCCTGAAGTGACCCTGAAGCGACTTTACGTGAACGGGAGTCAAAACACGCAGCTGAGCTAGGGGTCGTGAAATAGCCTAGCACTCATATCGCGATACTAGAACTTGTCAAAGGCAAGCAAAGGCCAAGCCATGTAGGAATTTGTTTTCGTACCCACAAGCATCCAATCTGAACTGTTGCAGATAAAATGTAAGGTCATGATTGTACAAGGCGCGGAATCTCGTGATTTCGTCGAAGTTGCAGCAGCTAGGACTTGCGTCTCAGGTGTTCGGGGCTTCATGCTTCCTATAGACAGGTGTACTCCAGAAGTGGTCCTTACAGCGCCACCGCATGTAGCAGTTCAGCCAGCGATTTGCACACCACTGGACACAAGGGCTTCACATTGCCTGAAACCTGCCCAAGCCCCGCAAAACCGCCTGTGCGAACGAAATGTCAAGCCCCATAGGAGCCCTAAACCCTAAACCCATAACCCTAAACCCATGGGTTCACCGAAGACAGGAGCGCTCCTCAGATGCCCCCTGGCACCCTCAGCAGCTCAAGAAGTCTTCGATCATCTGCTGGTTTTGCCTCTGAGCGGCGAAATAACGAAGATGTAATTTAGTACAACATAGTATAACACAAAACCATAACATATAGATCTTACAATATCACAGGGTAAAAACATACCATATACTATTAGTGGAATAGAACAATTGAATAGAGTTTAATTTAACAGAGCAAAATACAACGTAACCAAAACGTAATACAGTATAATACATAAGGTTAGACTAGATAATGAAATGCAACCATGTACATGAACCTGCTATTTAGAACCTAAAGTTGCAAAATGCAGTATAAGACAAATGCAATGCGCGGGGCACAACTCGATGCTTGCCTCAGGCAAAACTCTAAACCTCCTAGCTCCGCTACTGGCCCAACACTGAAAATGGCGTAGGAAAAGTTAAACATGGTTGTCTTGCTTGCTTGCTTGTTGGGGGCTTGGGGTCTACGAACATGGTTGTCTCTCTGCCTGTGTGTCTTTTTGTCTGTAGCTACGTCTGTCTCTGTCTCTCTGCATCTGCCTATTATGCATTTGTAGGTGTGTGTGTGTGTCTCTTAGCGCCTGAAAAACATTCGTACAAACGACAAAATACATAAATCTTTCTGTGCATGAATCTGTCTGTGTGACAGGCACTGGGCGAAAAGTTGTCAACTCAGGATTAGGAGTTATGCGGGTTCGACCCTGCGCGACGGGTACCGTTTCACTTCAGCCTACTTCGAGTATATATATATATATAGAGATATGTTCGGGACGCCCCTTCAGCGGGTACAATGAAAACGATTGACGCAACCGACACTTGAAAGATCGAAGGTGCAGTCGGCGGGGTTGCAGTTCTGCTATTAGACAAGCGATACAGGGCCAAGCCCAACTCAGTTGGCAATCACCATGCAACCTGAAAATCACCACCATGCAAACTGGCCCAGAAGAAGTTCTACTGCTTAGCTTCCGGTATGATGCGGACAGCGAAACAGGGCCAGGCCTCACTGTATATTCGCCCTGAGCCGCAAGGAGGTTTACCTGCAATAATGGGCGGCATTTGTTCAGATCCAGGGATGTTTCCTCAACGACTTGCGACTTGCGTTTGATTTCATTGGTCCCGAAATCGGAAATACAGACTCTGGCTTTCCAATCTGTTGCTTCATTCAACGCTGTGCCGCAGTGCCGGGCTCGGGATCCCAATATGCGCCCTAAACTGCAATCTCACAAAATACAGGACCGTAATTAGAAAGGCCTTTTGACGAGAGGGTGGGCAGAAAGCTTCATGTTTCCTGAAAAGGTGCCTACCCCTAGGCTCGAAAAAGTCAACATCAACTTGCGTTGACTCCTCACGGTTACATGCCCGAGGCCCTAGCGATAAGTATTCCCCAGGCGCCTGTGAGGGTGTTAGGCCCAGCGGGTCGAGGCTGTTCTGACCCCTTGGCTGGTCCGATGTCAGGTGCATGCAGGCGCGAAGCTTCTGAAAACATAGATGTCGAAAGCCGATGGAGTCCAGGATGGGGCGGCCGTGGCTAGACGATCAAGCTCGCCCTTTGCCTGCTGAATCAGTTATTGGATCCGCTAGCAAGCCCCAGGCTGGCTAAGCGTACAACCCTGACATGCTTGGTATTGAATCCCCGGGCACCCGTCCAGCAAACATCCGCAGCCAAGGCCAGGACAAAAGTCTTCAGGGTTGCCGCTTGCCGCCGAAGTCAAGATATCTCCATCCAGGCTGAGCAAAGGTCCCCTAAACCCGAAACCCTAAACACCCTAAGGTCCCTCCAACAGGCCAGGCCGTGTCCGAGCCACCAAAAAATAGCCCGGAATTCGACCGGCCGCATCAAACAGCCGGTTTTCGCAGCATTTGTCAGAAGGTACTTAGCAAAGGCATGCAAAGGCGAGGGGGCGCTTCGCCAGAGCCCAGAAAGCCTGTCGGCTTTAGGATCTCTGCTTGTGAAGGCTGATCTTTTCCAGCGAGGCTCGGGGTGCGTTCATACTATTAAATCAATCAATATATATATATATATTTTTCCGTTCCCTTACATATACTAATAGTATGCTACATTACACGACATTATACTCCGGCTCATGGTTTTCATGAGACCTCAGCTGAAGGTTCGGGTATGGTGCTGGAGGTTGGACCAGAAGAACTCCATCACAAAGCTAAGAATCTGAAATGAAGTTTAGGGTTTAGGGTCGTTTAGGGAACAAGGTCAGGGATTGTGGGTCACCTGCTGGGACGATGGTAGCTATCATAGGGACCCTTAGGCTTCTTAGGTCCCTGCTACGGATACTAAGGCCTCCTACCCCCCTCCCCCTTACCCCTCAGGATCGCTATGATAGCTCTAATGTTGGCGAAAGCACCAATCAAAC